GCACGCGCGCACCCCACCCCGGACCCCACGCCCAGACCGCCTGCGCCTCGCTCGCGGGTCCCCAAGCTCTGCACCCCGCTCGCGGGTCCCAAGCCCGGGACGCCGAGCCCAGCTCGCTGGCCCACGCCTAGCCCCAGCTGGCCAGACCCGGGTGCCCGCGCCCCTCTGGCTAGTCCCCACCCGGACCCCAGTCCCGCGCCCCGCTCCGGGCGCCCGAGCCTGCTCGCCGGCCACAGCACCGCTCGGCGCAGCACGGCCGGGCATTCTCCCGCCTCCCCGCGTCCAGCGCCGGCTCAGAAACCCAAGGGCGGCAGCAGCTCCGAAGTCCCCACCCGCGTTCCCAGCGGGGAGCGCCGCGCCCTCTCTCGCCCTCCGCGGCGCTCGGGGAAGGCGACTTGACAGCAGCCGCCCGGGTCGGGGGCGCGGGGACAGCGCCCGCGCGGCCACACGCACCCCCGGGGCGCCACTCACATTCTGTCGGGAACTAGCAAGCGGCCCTCGACCATCATGTCCGGGAGGAAATCCAGCTTGAAGGCAGAAGTCATGGTCTCGGCGCGCGCGCTGCGCTCGGGCGGGCGGGGGGCGGCGGTGCGCGCGTCCGAGCGGCCGCGGCGGCGCGAGACGGGCAGGGACAGGTGCGCGCGGCCTCCCCGCGGCGGCCGCCCTAGCCGGCACTTGTCACATTCTCTCCCCTCGCGCTCTCCGCCAATCCCCTCCGAAATCCAGTGCCCAGGCGCCCGAGTGCGGAGCGCCAGGTGCGGCGAGCGGAGGCGGAGCTCCGCGCCCGCCGCGCCGCCGCTTAACCCCTGCGGGCCCGCCGGCCCCCGCCCGGTCCCGGGAGGGAGGGAGCGGCCCGAGGCAGACGGCTGCTGGAGCTGAGCTCACCAGTTTTTAAAAATAGCCAGATTTTCTTAGGGTCTCCAAGCCTCCAGAAATGCAAACTAGTTCACCGCGCTGACTCTGTCCTTTCCGCTCCATTCTCGGTGTCTGGAGCGCATGGCACGAGGCCGGAATAACCGCTTGGAGTGGGTTTGGTGCCACTGTATTGCCAAAGCTTAATTCACTTCTAGAGCAACACCAAACTCCCGAAACCAAGTCGCCAGAGACGGAAACATCGTGTTTGTTTAAATGCAACTCCGGGTGATACCCTTGCCAGTGTATGAAGTGACAATAATTAATAAATGAAATTGCATTCGTGGTTTCACCAAAGTAACTATCAGGCAAATGGCCCAAGTGACATTTAGGGACTTGTATCTCAGAGCTAAGGAGAAAGATGAATCAATCTCTGCAGAGTTATATTTCCTTTTGTATCATCTTGAAAGCGCTAAGTGTAAGAGACTGAAAATAACAGTAATAAATCACATTTTCTTTTAAGAAGACAAATACTAGATAGGACCAATCAGTGATTTAACACGATGATTAAAAACCAAAAGTGACTTCATGAGTGTTAGGTGTATAATGTAATGACATGAAGGTTAGATCCCCACTTAAGGTTTGTGATACTCTAATAGGAATTGGGGAAAGTAACAACTCATGCACACGAATAGAAGCAGGTGAGTTTAATTTTCCCAACTGATTTGCTAAAACTCTCGAAAGATAAGTTTATTCGGTGACATTCTAATTTAACACTCTCATTCTTGTTTGGTTATTTGGGGAAGCCAAACTTCTCATAATGTCACAAATATATAAATCTTTCATGTGGCCTATTTCATACAATAAATCAACATCATAAATTGCATACCAGCAAGTTTATATTATGCATCTTTCAGTCATCTTTTTCTAGCAATCTTTTATTTCTTAATGACATCACATGTATGAGGATATAATCACAGAACCCAGAGGATAAACATCTAAGTCACTTGCAGTTAAATGTATCCAAATCCATAAAATGGAGAAAACGATTAATTTTTCTCATCAATTTCTTGTGATGAGAACTACATTATGAAGGAAAACAGATATTTAAATACCAATTTCACACCCACATACCAATATAAAATTCAGGTTTGATGCAGTGAACAATAAGAAGCACCAAGTCTAAGGTTTTCAATTAAATTCATACATACTTAATGGACCTGAAGTCCTTCTGTAACTCAACTATTTCTCTGGCTTTTGACCAAGATAGTTCTAATTCCAAGACAGATGTAGGGCTAGGCTAACCTTCATTTCAGAATAGTGTCTCTCATAAGGACCTAAGTCTAGGAATTGAAAAATAGATGAAGTAAAATGAATTTGAATATCCAAAATACCCAACCATTTCCTAGTAATACTAATCTACATTTACTCTCTACCCCAGCTACCACCAGTTATCATTGAAAGGAAGGATTTTTGTTGTCCTGTCAATAATCTTAATAAAATAATTAGCTGGATAAACGAAGACAAACGTTGACAGGTCTCGATTTTCCCGCTATTATTTACATAAATCCAAATGTATATAATGAACTGCCTACAAAATTTAAGGACAAGCTCCCAGAACTAGTCTCCACAGCAGAAGCAAAAAACCACATTAATCAAAAAGAAAAGTATTTTCAAATCAGTTCTGGAATAAAGCTCCACATACATCTACATACTGTAGGTAGAAAATGCTTCATTAACATGTACACTTCTGAAATATTTATTTCCTCTTTAATTGCATGTGAATTAGTTGGAAGAAGCTGTAGGGAAGCCCTCTTTACTGACTTAAGCCTTCTCAGCAGTTTGTTAAATTCTAGCCTGAAATCCCTGGAGGCAATAGTGGATTCAAAGCAGCTTTTAATCATACTATAAGGAGGGTGAAGTAGTATGTAAGTAGGTCATAGAGAAAGAATTACAAGTGCATAGGTTATTGCCTTATTTAACAACTACAGTGTAACAGAGTTTTCAAAGCACATTTGCTTGTGCCATTGCGAGTTAGAAGCAAAACCTGGGTCAAGAAAACTCAGTCTTACATGGGATACTGTGAAGACATGAACCAAGGAAAGCTTATGGACTGGAGCTGCGTTTAAATAATTTGGCTGCCAAATTCATAAATAATCTGGTGATTGCATAGGCACTTAATGTAGGTGCCAGAAAGAACCCCACCCCCAACACACACACACACACACACACACACACACACACGCGCGCGCACACAAGCACAGCTACCCAGGACCACAGGGCTTTGTTTCCATGATCACAGCACATACACAATAGTCTTTTTAAAAAAGGCAAATTTCTAAAGCTCTTGAGTTTGGAAATGAAAACAAAACAAAAACATCCAACCAAATACCACCTAATGAAAAGCTCAGATTTCTCCGTGTGCTGCTTTGGCAGAAGGAAAAAAAAAATCTGAAACAATTCAGTGGGGCCCCTTTTTTAATTTTCATGCAGTAATGAGCCATCAGGTATCATGTTTTGGCAGTTGGAGTTATTTGGCAGACACCTCCGCTGGGCCGCTGCTTTACACTCGGGTTCAATGAAACAGTTCTAGAGCCAAGGATCTTATCAACAACAGTGAAAGGGGCTGAGCCCATAGCGGGCCCCACTGGTGGACAAGACCTGGTTGGTGACATCACTGGGGACGAGGTGGTTGAGAACAATGAAGTTTCCTCATAGTTTTAGCTTCATTGTAAAAAAACTTCAAGCCCATCCCCCCACCTTCCCTAATTGTCTCTCTCTCTCTCTTTTTTTTTAATCAACTTGCTATTCATTTCCCAAACAAAAGGCAATTCAAGAATTGGAAGCACTTCAAGGGAAAGTTTCTGAATGACCTCATTTCTTATGAGGCCTTCCAAGGCAATCCCTGCACTGTGCTGTTTCAGCTCCCTGCTTCCCGCCTCATGCCTCATTTCAAACTGAGTCTTGTCTAATGGTCATTGTTTGGGCGCTGAATTATCACTGGCATTAAAAACACACAGAAAAAATATCTCTCAACAGAAACAGAGTGCTAACAAATGCAGTTTCCTCAGAACCCACACTGCCTGAATTGGAAGAATACTATTCTGGTCACCACACTCAATCAATGAAGCAGAATATAGTCCATTGACTATTGATCTTTCAACATTTTTGCACAAAGTTTATAACTTAAGTCTGGTGCCTGATATATACAGTCATTGTTTATAACCAACTAGTTCATTCTCTTCTGCAGACCACTTGTATATTTTATGACAATTTTTCTTTTTTTGAAAATTTATTCCTATACATATCTTCACACATCACTATAGCTTTAAAAGCAGTAAACCAGCTATGCAACTATAGAACAGAGCAGTGCAGAATGGTTCCAGACTCAGAAAAGTCACCTTCATACACACCCCCTCCCCCTCAATTCTGGCTCACTGTTACAAACTAGAATCCAAAACATCTTTCCCCAATCACATTTTCCAAATTCAAAGTTTATTAACATAGCTGTTTTGGTTTAAAAAAAAAAAAAAGCCCAATGTGTTCAGAGCCATTTGAAACAGGAATTACAGATCCTATAGGGGCATTTCCCATCATTTTCAGTCAATAAATTTGAAATCCACATGAATTTTAAGTACCTGAGAGACCATCTGACTTTGTAGCCATGTGTTTGTTCTTGGCTTACTCCTGCTTCATTAGCAACTTGCAAAAATAAACAATGTTGTTTTTTTTTTTTAAAGTGATTTAAAAAAAACAAACCCCAAACAGATCCCTTAGTGGTAAATTGTAAATATATCTCAGTTCCATAAACATATCACTTAAAAATAGTCCTATCTCCAATCATAAGTTTAAATGACCACCTTATTTCTGCTTCCCAATTTGAAAGCTTCTGGGGTGGAGGCTTTCACATTCCTAGAATAATTTAAGTAAAATTAAATGCCAGTAAAGATGAACTAGTTATTAAACTCTTATTTTACATTTTTAAGGGAATTTTAAGTAGTCACTCTCCCTTGAGAACAGCTGCTACTGGCTTTTTGCAATCTTGTGTTTTTCTGAATCTGTTTTTAATAGAGCAAAAATACATAATGGTGAATTTATCTTCCTACTAAAGAGGCCTTCAAATTGAAGATGGTTCTTTGTATACATACCTTCGTGCTCGGAAATGAGATGCCCCTCTGGAGTTCTCAGAAGCTTCCAAGCCAAGGGGATGAAATGTTAATGCGGTGTTTCTCTCAGACCCAGAGCTCAACCAGCTCCTCACTTCCTGCTCCAACTTGCCTTTTCCTTTTTCTCCTCTCTCCATTCTATTACTGCTGCCTTCTTTCCCCCTCTCTCAGCTTTCTCTTCTCCCTACTCCTTTTCTCTTTCAAATGGAAGTAAGACAACTCCAGAAGCTCTCCTCAGCTGCCTGCCTGAGGAGGCCTGAGACTCCACCAGCGAAACAAGTTATCTTGGTGGCTTATCTGCGGGAGAAATCAGGTTGGACTTGCCTCCTCCAAGACTGATTTCTGAACTAGGAACAGCTGTCTGGGGAGTGGGCCGTAGGATTCCTTTCTAAACATGACCAGGGGAAGGGAGGGGTAGGAAGCCAGAGTCTCCTGAAGTGAGTAAATAAGATGTGAATATTGGGAAGGAGGGGAGTAGGGCAAGGAGAGGGAGATGAAAAAGGTCTGCCTGTCTGGCAGGGAGATCTGCACATGAAGGCACTCAGAAAAACCCTCTGAGGAATGTTCTAGTGACCTCTTGAAGATCCTGAGATTTGTCAAACTATACCAGGTCCCCTTATCTGGTGCCAGTCTGGCGGTGGGAACAAAATTTATGCTTAACAGAATGAGGTTTTAGTTCCCTGGTACTGAGCCCTTAACACCCCTATCCCCACAAAATATTTTTCCCAATTGGCCTAAAGTTCTCATTTTACTGTCACATGTTAAATTAAGAAAAGGAGAAATGACTGCTTGATGAAATCCAACAGCTGAACAGCAACAGCTGGGTGGATACTAGAGTGGGCATGACACTGGGTCCAGATCGAGGAGCAGCAGGTGGGGCTGAGAGAAAGAAATGGAAGCTTTAAACCCTGGTTGGGGGTGGGGGGAGGCGATAGGGTGTCTGAGACAGATCTTGGCAAGAGTCAAAATCCTGACTTGAGAGGGAATCTCCCGAGGCATCCTGGCCCCATTTGCCTGAATGTCTCTGCCTTTTGAAAACAAATGCATCTTGAAGAAATTGAGGATTAAGGGAGCAAGAGCTTGGGTTTCTGTAAAACAAAACATGGAATCCACTTTGCTTACAATGGTGATGGATTCCCACTAAAGAGCTCAGGGTTACCAGGATCAGGAGTCATCTGATACGGTATATCCGTAACAGACTCTTCCAGGCAAACTGAGTGGAAAGATTTCAAGATTTAAGGGCCAAATCTGATAGATTCTGCATTTGATCCTGCAGAGGTGGCTAACACTGGGAACAGGCATTTAGTTTTCTGATTCCACCAGACCTTTGTATGTCTGTGGCTATTGTTTCCTAGTAGGGAGGAACAGCTGAAATATCAAAGTCCATCATGATCCTCAGATAAGAAGCACGATGTGTTAACCTAATTATTACTATAGCAATTATATAACCAAACTATTTAAGTGACATGTAGGTTGGAAATACATTAAGGTTTTGAGCACAGGAAATTTACTTTTTCCCTATAATATGGTTCAAATCTCTAAGCCATTTTTAGCTTACGATAGAGGTTTTTGGAAATCCCAAATGACTTTTCATTTAAATTTGCTTTTGATGCTAATTCCCATGAAGTCCACTAGGGAAAACATTTTTTTTTTTTTTCTTTTCTTAAAAGAACTACCCAAAATCTTCATGGAAAAGCTGTCAACTCAAGCAAAGTGAAATGAGTTAAATTTTGTCTTCTTTCTTGCTCAGTGTCGAGTTTTGTTACCCAACTGCTTAATCTCTCAATACTCCACACAGTCATAGCTATATATGCCCTGTTTCATAGGAGTATGGCGAAATTAGGGAGGACATGAGTGGTTTTGGCCTGAGGAAGGAAAATGATTGAGCTTAGGATTCCTTATTGCTTTAATGATGAAGATAAATCCAGATATCTTTCAATACCTTCCCTTTGCTCCTCACTTGTCTCTCCTTCAAGACCCAGTTGAACTCATTCTTCTTTGCATGACACTACCTGATACCTTTTCACCCATTATTTCTGCCTGTTTCATGACTACTGCAGGCTTCTTGATAGTTGAGACTATGTTTTACATTGAGTATGATGTATATTTGTTGCTTAATTGGTTCTGATTGCAGTATGACTTATTTTGGCACCTTATATACAAAACTTCACACTTCATTTTCATAATTCTTTAGCATTCTCCATGATTCCTTCCAACAGCTGTTCCCAATATACAGAGAAAAGCTTGAGAAAAGTGAAGCTACAGCTATTTAAATGCAAAGGTTTCAAGAACTCTAAGGTAAACAAGTCAACAGAGAGGAGTTGTTAGAAGTCAGAAGCAAAAATTGGTGCCATTTTTCCTTTCTTAGTTCTTATTTTTTTCCCTTTCTTATTGTACAGTTTTCTCAGTGGTTTAAAAAACAACAACAAAAACGAACCTAGGAGACATGAACAAATCAAAGTCCATGGTGGAAATGCTGCATTAGAGGAAGAGATGAATTCAAACTGTCAAATATTCCAGTTACTCTTTGAAGTTTCCCAGGGACAGAGTTTGATTGAGTCCTGAGTGAGAATCCCTTTTGATATGAGCTCTGTGTCTAAGGGTCTGTTTATCTCTCTGAGTCAGTCTCTCTCTCTCTCTCTCTCTCTCTCTCTCTCTCTCTCTCTCTCTCTCTCTCTCTCTCTCTCTCTCTCTCTCTCGCTTCATTTCTCTGGGTCTTTTTTTTTTTATAGCCAGCACTAAATTTTGCATAACTGTGAGGATTATGTAAGATCAAAGAAGCACCTAGTATAGTGTGAGGCACAGGGTAGATAGTAAATTTTGTTTTTATTCCTTACTTCTAATTGTAACACTCACCACCCCACCCCCAATTCATTTAATCCAGAAACTGGCAGGTGAGAAAAGAAAGCCAACCCTAATCTTATTGTTTTTGTAGCATTCAAGTGTTCACTGGTACATCTACTTCTATAGCCAGCAGCCTAACCTGGGGCAGGGGAGGGAGGTTATGGTATGGAGAGCAGGCAGTGAGCATTCTGTGGCTGGGAGGTTGCCACATGAGGTCACCATCCTTTTATTTATTTATTTTTTTTAATCAAGTCAGTTGTCAAAGAGGTCATAATGATCCTAACTGCTGCCTCCAGAAACTCATACCACCCACCACCAACTTAGTGATTTTTTCCCCCAGAGCTGATTCCTAAGGCATCTCCGAATAAACAGGTAAGTCATGTCATAGAGCTCCAACAAGGGCTGGGGTCCCAGACCAAGGTACTGGAAAAGCAAGACATGATAAAATCTATGATATTGCAGGTTTATAAGCCCCTGTGTTGCTGAGATGGGCTGTTTTATAGGAGAAGTGAGGAGTATTTGATTGATTTCTGAATAAAGGTACAACTTGTGCCCATTTTAGTTGATGCAAACACCAGCTAGTGCAATCCATAAATTTCAACAGTGTTTTTTTTTTTTTTTTAAACCAATTGCAGCTGTGACCTTTGTCAAGCTGGGAATTTAAAAAACCACAAATATTGCAGATTTATCAGCATTCTAACTTTAAACCTCAAGTTCTTCTTGGCCATGGCAACAAAGTTTGTTAAACTGAATAATTTTACAGAAAAATTCTGGTTTTTATTTTTCTCTGAGGGCATGCTGGCAAACCCTGCTTCATAAACTCCAGTGATTCATCACAATTCTAAGCAGCCAATCATGGGCAGGTCAACTTGGAATGGGCTGCATGGCAGCTCAAGCTGTCCTGGTAACACATGTCACCCTGGGCCAATGTTGTCCTCTCCCCACAGATGCCATTTCATGTTAACTGTGATGGTCTTGACATTCAGGAAAATGAGCTGGGATCAGCACGCAATCGGGAAAAAATTATGAAGCAGAGAAACATACCTGTAGATGACAATCCCTAACTACATTACATGAAGCAAAAACGCTGTGTTTAAGAGCAGAATGTCCCTCATATCACATCAGGGTTAACGTGCACATTTTGGAGTTGAGTAGAGGTACACACATAGACACACACACACACACACACACACTCACTCACTCACTTACACTCTTACATGTCCATGTAGCCTCCATCTCAGCATTACAAACTCTGAGAGTGGTACCATGTGATTAGAAAAGTGCTTCAGCTCCAGGACTCTTCATTTTAATTTCTAGTGGATGACAATATTAAAGCCTCACCTATGTTTCACTTCCTCTGACACTCTCTTCCCAATGTCAGTTAAGTAAAATGCCATGAATTTTAATCCTCTCTAAACCACTGCCTTGTCTTTCCTACAGAACAAGTCACTGGGAGTTCAGAAAAACACCCAAAGCCAATAACCATTAGAGAAGCAATCAATAATTGTATGAAAGGGGAAAGCCACCCTTCTCCCCAAGTACCCCAGGAATTACCAAAATGTAGAAAAAAATTCAGTGAAGGCTAATAAAGATAATCCCAGGCACTGCAACTGAATGGAATGCACTTGTTACTGTGGGAAGAGATGCAGACAGAGGCGATGGAGCTGCAGGAGATGCTGCTGAACACACTGCCTCCTAATAACTTTTACAGAAATCTCTGTATAAGAAATTGAGTTGGATATTTCTAATTTCCTCACTATCATGATTATACCAAATCAAGGTATGTCTTTCATCCAAAAATCCTGACACCTTAAATTTGGAGTGATCATTCCCACAGGACCTCCTTCCTTTTGCATTTCACCTTCTTTTCATCAACCTAGGTGTTTCCAGTACTGTGAGCAATGAACTTTCCATCAGCCACATTTTCACCTAATTAACCCCCCTGATTACAATAATTAGTATTGATTCCCTCTTTGAATGACTTCCTAGCTATTCAAGCACAATCTGCACTTGCTATAAAGTTCCAGATATGAATATTAATCAAATGCTCTTCTTTGTTTTTCAGCCCCACAGGGCTATTTTGCAATTGTATGCACTCATTTTAAAAAGAAAAACAGCGAGGTTTCGCTTGAACAAATACAAGAATATTAATATCTCGAGGTTGCAGATCTCAGTCTGAGGCCGGCTGAACACATCTTGGTGACTGTTCCTGAGGCTCCTGTGTGAAGGGACTTAGGGTGCAATTGTTAGTCTCTATTGAAAGAACTCGTTTTCACAGTTTGAATCTCTTACTGTTCCTTTTCTGCAAGTCTAGGTCTTACAATTAAAATTTACTTCGATAATTATTTAGGTCACTATGCAGGGGGATTATCACACATAGAGGCTTATGGCAGGATAGAGCAACAGATATCTTATTACTGTTGTCGAAATAGATAAAGACAAGTTTGCCAACTTCACATGATCTCACACCTTCCCCATCAGGCTAAAGGAAGAGGTATCTTTCTGTTGGACACCGGAATGGAGGGTCTCCAAATTCTGAAAGCTGGTAATGGATCAAACCATAGGAGATGTAAACCAAGTGAGAAGGGATTTCCCTTGTTGTTGGCTCTACCTGTGACCTCCCAGGAATTACAGTGACTAAGTAGCTCACAGGTAAATAATTGTAATTTAGTCAAAAATACAACATGATGGTTTCTAAGTTACTTCTTTATTTCACTATGCTACTGATAAGTAACTAGGTATACAGAAGGCTACTTTTCTCCCAAATCACAAAAAATTACTTTGCAACCTTCATTTTAGAATAGAAATTTCCCATGAAAGCAAAATCTCGGTATACTGGCTACGGTGGGCCAGCTTCAGTTATAAAGCTTCACCAATTGCCTTTTATGAGCTCATCCTAAAAGCAATTATTGGTATACCCGATGGAATGAGCAGTTCAGATCCCATTGGAAGTAAGACAACATAATAAGTATGCATTAAAAATCCACTCTATTCACAATGGATAACTTTAAAAATGCTATGCTGCAGATACATTTTGGGTCTATCCAAGCTCTGAACACAGTGTCAGAAAATCTATATTTCAAAGGCAATTGACTTAGCCTGTAACATTAATTTTATTAATTCTGAATTAAATATTTCATAATGTATCAAATTAAGTTAAAAACTGGAAATATATATCCAGACTAAAAAAAATGTGAAGCTAATGATTCATAACTGTATTTTTACATACACCTCATTCCTTATTTGTTGGGAATATCACTAATTCGAAACACAAAATAATCCAAGAGGAAATACTTGGAGCTAAATTCTTAAATTCTTGTCCTTTAAAATGATTTCCCTTCTGTTTTTAAATTTTAGACCCTAAATCTTTACACATATTTTTTTTTCACTGTATCGCTCTGGCACAAATAGCTTTATAACAAAAGCAAAACACCAAAGTGTTAGATAAGATATGTCATTTAAGGAAACCAACCTTAGTGAGATTATTTTTATGTAAATCGATTACAATTGAATATTCTAGGACTAGACCTTTTATATCTAGAGTAAGAATTAAAATACTTTCAATATTTGAGAAGTTTGAGACAGATTTTTC